TCGAGCCCCACCACCGCCACCCAACTTTGGTGGGAGACAGGGTTGCTGTCGCCCGGTTCTATACCACACCTGACCTATCGGGGCCTTATGTGGTTCACCACTCCAAGTCTCGGGGATCAGGTTACCGGTTACCATCATTGAACAGCAGGTCATCGTGACTGCAGGGTTCACCCCGTTGGCTGTTCATCACACACTGGCGTGTAATAAAAAAACATTCGACCTTATCTCTTGTTAACTGGCAACCCTCAATTAGTCGCGGCCTTCTCCTGGTATATTGGTAGTCTCTTGTTTGTGCATCGCAACCGTTATCTGATCTACCCGGTACCCTTTTGAAATTTTGTTTTTCTCTTGCGTGCGCTCCCGTGTTACTTTCAATGGGAAAGAAATACCATTTGGTGATTGAAAAAAAATACTCGGTTCGGATAATGCAAGTCCTCGTTTACCGAATTAGGTGTATCCATACGTTTCGCAACAAAAGTAGTGCTCTTCACTGTGTCAATCGATCGGTTGAAACCACACAACCACACCCGTTGAGTGTTGTTACACTCTTTCTCTCCATATGCACTCAGCAGCATCACACACACACACACACATTCGAGATAGTCCCGGTACGTGTTGACCTCTGAGAGAAACAATAAACACGTCACCGCACAGTGAAGCGGACACTGATTTTCATTCCCACGCATCCATATGCAGTCACATCGTAACCATGACATACGTACACTGGTCGTCATTAACTGATTATGAATCTAATGGTATTGATTCAATTGAATCGTCGTCACCATTGCTGCGTGCTTCGATTTCACACTAGCCGTGAATGTGAACAAAAAAAATCTGGTTGATGAGCATGACGCACAAGTTAGTCTGTATCGTTCAGTTCGCTAACGGTATCTACAGAAATCGACAATGCCCTGTTTTTTGTTTCAGCATTCTATGCATTGAAATAGCTTAACTCGCTCACGCTCGTTTAGTGGCTTCATTGCTCTGATTCATAAGTTATCAGAAACCGGTGGCCAAACTGTTCGGGTTGTTTTCAACTACAGTTGGAATGGCGTAATTTGAACGTTCTCGTTTTCTCAGAGGACGAGCAACTTTTTGACCTAAAAAGAGTCTGTCCTGTCATATGAGCATATGAAAAATTCAGTTTTGTTGGGTAGACAACTGATCGAAAGCACTTGCTCCCGGTTGCACGCGTTCCCACAAGCTGATCGGTGCTTGTTTAAGTGATAAATACATTTTCACCTTCGTTTAACCTGTATTAGGCATGAATGTGTGAGGCATATTAATAGTTTCTCGTAACTTCATGTTGCGGCAGTTTTGTGACCCTTTGATATGGTGCTTGAGGGAGTGCGAGTCGAGATCTCATTCACCCCTGGGTTAATGGATGGATAACATTTGTTATATCATTCAAGGGTATAAAACGTCTGTAACTTGTTTTTATATCAGCTTCCCTTATTCCTGTCCTATCCTCGTGCGAGGATAGGGGCATCGATTTACTCCCAAGTGGTAGGCTGTCTGATCTAGAGTATGCAGACGACATTGTGCTACTAAGTGAAGATGCAGGTAAGTTGCAAGCATTTCTGGATAACTTGAATGCCAGTGTAGCCGTATTCGGTATGCGTTTTGCACCTTCAACGTGTAAAATGTTACTACAAGACTGGGTTGGTCCAGCACCCGGACTCATTTTAACTTGGGAACTAATAGAGCAAGTGGATGAGTTTTGTTTTTTGGGCATCTGCATCTCACGTGGTAGAGACATCACGGATGAAGTGTCATCTCGCATAACAGAAGGCTCGGTTTGCATTTGCCAAGTTGAGACATCTGTGGCGCCGTCGCGACATCTGGCTGTCTGTGAAGGGTCGAATATATGCTGCAGCAGTTCGGCCAGTTCTGCTATATGGGGCAGAAACTTGGCCATTAAGTAAACATAATAAAGATAGACTGTCGGTGTTTGAACATGGGTGTCTACTCAGGATTGCACGAATCTGGTGGGGTAGCCGGATGAGCAATGCTGAGGTTAGACGCAGAGTTTTGGGTATCCGCGGTGGCCCACTGGAGGAAGTAGCACGTCGAGTGATGTTCGTCGAAGCAGATCCCGAGTGAAATAATGCCCAGGGTGGTCAAGCTAAGACCTCAAATGAGGGTGTGAAAACCCCGACCAGTGGACTGGGTGACATCGGTCCTGTTGGGCTCCCTGATTGGGGACCTCGGAATGACCGTGGCGGATGGTTAGAGACACTGAGTGATATGGCTGGGTGTCGTGAACAGTGGCGTTCGTGCATTTTCTCAATTTCTCTGTATCATTAGTCCACTGAAGTTTTCAATTTTCTCTTCGATCCTACTTTCAGGCTTTCCTGTCTTTCTCCTAATATTCATCTAAATGGGCAGCCTAAGGAAAGCAAGCAAATCCGGCGCACGAATATGCTGGGTAATGGTTGTACCTACGGAAACTGACTCCGCTATTCCGGCTGTTTAAAAAATTGAGCATAAATTACTCTCCAGTGAGGTAGATGAAAGGACTTTTTGTTTTGACGACATTCATCGAATCGCTTGATATAACCAAATTGGATTTCGAAAACTGCTTACTGTCATAGTTTTGTATTTGGTTCATTGTTTTTTTTTCTTGCAGGATTTCATCCTTCAATCCGACGCATTCCGGGTGTCTCCGCAATTTATGGATTCAACCAATCTGGAGGATAGTTTGCCCACACTACAACATGCCGAACCGATTGCGGTGGCCACTCCAGATGAAGATGAAGATGAAGAATCCGAACCAGATC